CCCCAAAACCCCAAAACCCCAAAACCCCATCTGGTATGATATGCTTTTTTACAATAAATTATATTTATCATAGTAATTATTGTATTTTATTGGATAAAATGGATAACGCCCTTGATGCTGCCAGAAGCACTAGACAAATTATAAAAGCATTTTAAGAGGACTCTCAGAGTAGAACTGGTAAAATTGATAATGGGGTTAGAAAAGTTTTAATAAATGTCTTTCTTCAGTAAAACTAATAAGTTCTGAAAAATTCTCAACCTGCTTAATCCAGATATAAGAATAATGATGAGCACAGTATTTCACCAGGCCATAGTAGTGTAATATAATCAAATTTGTTTAACTAAAGGTATATAGTCTATCATAGATGTAAAGACTCCAACAATGCAAAACATTAACAAAAGTATGATCTTGCCAAATAATAGTAGAAACATAGCCCAAAGCAATAGCTCAATATTCAAAAATATTGATAGACTAGATCCAAAAAGATCAAATATTGATGAGTTGCTTAAGTATAGACAAAGTCAGAATACTACTTTGAACTAAAATTAAAGATCTGATGTTATTGATGAAAGCAATTCTCTTTTGGGAAACTACTTAAAATCTCTGAAAGCAGAATACAAGCAACCTAAAAAACAGAAATATTTGAACAGTGAAATGATGGCTATATCACTTGATATAAAAAGTGAAATAGAGTACTATAAAAATAAAAAAGAAAGAGAAAAATATGATGACGTCGGAAGTAGAAATAGGTCTATATTCAAACCTAATTTAATGAGTTCAATCATAAATCAATAAGCAGATATAAATAAGCTTCCTACTATAGCATAGTAAAATGATGGTTAGTAAAGCACACCAAAGGCAGATAATGATAATGAGGAGAATGATGAAGAGAAAATTAAGATTGATGATTAAACCCATAATAATGATTTAAATTCTAATGAGAATAGATAAAATGCTGATAATAGCAAAAAGCAAAAGCGAATAGGCTAAAGATCCTAGGTGAGAAATTTTGTCTTTAGTACTATATCAAGAGATCAGATTTACAATCGACAAAGGAAATAATAGGATAGCTTACCTGAAGTCGGCAAATATTACCCAAAATATAGCTTGATTGTGCAACGACCATTACAAGTTGAATTTTCTAAAGTATTTGAAAAACCTGGAAGGATTGAACCTGCAATCGCATTAAAGGCTGATGACTCAAGTAAAATGATTAGATTAAAAACAAATGAGACATCTAAAGTTCACACTAATCTTGAAAGAAATGCTTCATAGATTTTGCACACTCAAAAATAAGAAAATGTTTTATTACCTTCTATTATTGTCAGGAACACAAGAAATCAAAAAGCATTAGTAGTTCATAAAACTATAAGTACGAATCCAAGATAATAGAATTAACTATGAATTATCAATAATTTATCAGATTATATTTTTATTTCATGATAATTTAAAATTTTCATTGAACGGGGTTTTGGGGTTTTGGGGTTTTGGGG